GGGGAATTCTGGGAGTTGGAGTCCACACATCTGAAAGCTGCCAAGGTTGAGGAACACTGCTTTATAGTATACCAATTTGGGAAAAGCTGAGTTACAGACTCAAAGCAAAACCAGCAAGCAATTGAGAAAAGGGAGTTCAACTTCCTGAGAACATCTGGCAATTATTCACTTTCCTACAGAGTGGACCAAACTTTTTCACCCCACTCTGGCTGATCCCCCCGCTCAATGCAAGCTCCAGCACTCACTGTGGCAGGTTGGGATGTCACAGTACTTCCAGTAGATCCCTTCCTCGTTCTCTGAGATGTAGCACCAGGGCTGCACATCACCGTCTGGGTTCCGACAGTAATTGTGACTGCCCAGTCCCCACTCGCCGTTGGGATATTTGGCCGTGTTGTAGGCATGTTCTCGCGTCTGGTTCCAGTAGAGGCAGGGTCGCCCAGCGGTTCCAGGCGCAGTTCTGTTCTGCAGTCCCCGATAATCAGCTCCATTCACCATAAAACATTCAGATAATTCTGGGGGATAATCAGAGGGAAAGAGAGATGGTGGGGGACATGTTTTTTTCCATGTTTTCTCCCGCTTATTTTGATTTTCTAAATGGGGGTGTGCGTTATCTTGCACTTCCTCCCCATTCACAGAAGAACAAACACATAAAAAGTAAAGGTTGGTTTGAGACAAGTTCAACTCTTGAGGATTACATGGATGTTTCTTCAACTTCTCAGGCCCAACTCTTGGCAAGGTCAACCAAGCAATGCCTTCTCTTCACATCTAAACCCTATTTAATTGCTGCTTTATGACCAAACCTAATTATTTAGTCAGTTCTAACTCAAGTTACGTCTCTGATCAACATTTCCTCTTTCCCTTCTCTCTCCTGAGAGCCACAGCAATTCTCCCTCACAGGACTCTATTCTATGCATCTGATAAACGGGACTACGATACACAAAAGCTAAAGTTGTCAGTCTTTGAAGTGGCATAAGAGTCTGTTTTGATTTTGCTGCAGAAGAGTAACACAGCTATCCCTCGGGTAGCTGTTATATACAAACAGATTTGTCCTCACAACAACCCAGAGAGTTTGGTTACACTGAGAGACAGTAACCAGCCCAAGGTCATCCAAGGAACTTATGGTAGCCTGCCAGGAAAACAACGCATGGATGAAGAACTTGTGGCCCTCCTGGTGTCGCTGGAACTCTAACTCCCAGCATCCTTTACCATTGGCCATATCTGCTGAGACTGCTGGGAGTTGCAGTTCAGCAACATCTAGAAGGCCATCAGTTCCTTGTCCCACTGTAAGATGTTTTAGCTGCCAAATGTGTTTGAAAGTGGGACAAACACACACACACACACACACACACAATCTATGTATATATTCTCTGTAATATTTATAAGAACATTATTATCCCCTGAAAATAAGGGGCTTGCAATTTCAAAGACTGAAGGCTTCTGCACTGCTGAATTTGTACTTGGTCAGAGATTAGTGGCCATGTTCATACAAGCTTAAGTTGGTCAGTTAAAACCTAGCAAGCTCATTTACACAACTTATTAAGCTTGATTATTTTTAACCCCAGTCAGTTTTTGTGAGTTGATGTGTTGGGTGAGTTCAGCTAATTTGTTTAATGCATGATTCAATGTATTGTGCAAATCTGAAAAATAGGTTAATTCAGGTTAAGTTGTGTGAATGCAGCCAATGCCCCTAACTGGGTCAGGTCGACAAGAGAGTGAGCTGTGCAAATATAGCCAGGGAATCCCGCTGAACTCTTTTTCTTAGAGAGGGAGCAGTGGCATTGTTAGAGTGGCACAATGGGAAACTACAGGTAGTCCTCATTTAGCCACCCTCTCATTTAGTGACTGTTCACAGTTACAATGCTGATGAAAAAGTGACTTTATGACCATTCCTTGCATTTACAACCTTGCGGGTCCGTAAAGCAAAGGAAAGATGAAGTAAGATCATAAGCACAGTTGCAGTTTCACTTAGCGACTGCTTCCCTTAACGACCGAGTTGCCAGTCCCAATTGTGGTCATTAAATGAGGGCTACCTGTACTTGACTCAAATATTTGTTCAAGCATAAATTATGCAGGATAGCTCTGACATCCTATATAGTTACAACTTCTGGAGCTTCATTTCTAGATGAAGAAGAGATACCAAGTTTTCAAGAGACCTTAAAGCTAATTTCTCAATCCCAGAGGGAGTGCTGATGGGTGCGGACAGCCTTTGATTTCTTATTGGTGAAAGAAACACCCTCTATTCCTTCATAGAAAGATCTTCAGTCAGGAGGAGATGGGCAACATACAAATTTAATTAATTAATTAATTAATTAATTAAATGAGATATAATTTTGGGGCAGGAAATTCAAAAGATGTTCCTGCACCTATTTTACCCATAATCTGGGGAATTAGTTTTGGTCAGAAAGTTGAAGGCAATCACAAGAATGGAGACCTACAGTGGGAGAACATTTCCACTTCTAGGGAGTTCATAGGAGACCTTCAGCTGCCACTCTTTCCTTTCCCCCTCCCAATCCTGAAATGTGGAGCTGGAGAAACATCAGAGCAAGCATGACAAGACAGGCTTGGAAGAAGAGGGACTCGTCTCAAGGCTGCCTCTAGGGTGGGGGCCAAAAAGAGATTAGAGATGCTAAATGTGTAATCAGTTAAAGCATGCAAGGGCTTTGAAGATTCAAAGGGAATTGGTGGAGGGTGTCCCTTGAGATTTGGCTGGAGGCAAGAGAAACACAGGAGACTCTTTTAGAACTCATATTTGGGAAGAGGAGGGAATGGAGGAGGATCAAAGAGTTCAAAGACACATTTAATCGGCCATGCCAAGACAGTCAAGTGCAGGCAGAGCACAAAGAAAGAGTTATGGGGGGCAGTGAGATGGGCAGAATCTCTGCTAAATTTCTGGCCTCTACCAAGGTCAGAAATGAGTCTTTCTAAACCAAGGATGTGCAACATTTTGGGGATGGGGGGTAAGGGCCACACTGGGCCTTTGAATAGTGTGTCAGGTGGGGATATATTCCCCAAAGGCAGCAGGGACAAGATAATGAACTGGGCAAAGCCAAGGCAGAATTAAATTCAATTGGATTGAAATGGAATAGATTTATTTACAAGCAGTTAATAGGATTTTCCCTGTGTAGTTAATTTTCCTGTTTAGGCTTATTGCTTGCCTTTATTTGTTGATTTGTTTCATCTCCATTCTATTCTTCTTAACCAGGTTTAGAGTGGTTTACCTCAAAATCTAATTAAATTTATTAAAACAAATAAACAGAATGCAGCAACCTAGAACTCATATTAAAGCATTTAAAACTATTAATTGATAAAGAATGCGAAAATATAGAGGGTCTCCAAGTATTTCAACCAGGGCTTTTAGGGGTCACGGGTGCTCATAGGGTTCCTGACTAAGCATCTTGCCCCCTTGTAGAGAGACAGAGAGCCATCCAGTTGTATCTGCAGAATCAGGACTTAATTGCCCCAGAAAACCCATTCTTACAGGCACGATAACAATAAAGTATACGCAAAGTGTTTTCTCCTCACATCACAAACTTTAATCCCAGGAAAGAGTCTTGTCTCTCTAGGCAGCTGATTGAAGTGGTAGAAATGTAGAACTGATGGAAGGAATGCACCACATCAGGTTACAAGTTGGAATGTCATTTCTAAATGTTCCTGCATATAAACAAAACACATAATACCTACACCCTGTTTCACCCAAGGAAAAACTGACCTATCAAGGAAAAAAATTCTAGCCCAACTCCGTCCTGGCTTGGCTTGCGTTCTCTTTCCTTGTCATACAAGCACGGTCATCACTGTATTCATTTGCATCTACGGGCAAAGAACCTTCACAAATGTGAAGTATATACTTCACAGTCTGAAGTATATACAGTACTTGGTGCAAATTTTGGAATCCTGCCACTTATTTCCATTATAGCTGTAGGCAAAGAAGGTAGAGTTCTGGATCTGAAAGGATGTCCGTGAGAAAAGATCAACCCCTTGCCATGCTGACGATCCCATGGCCTCTACCCGCCCAGGAAGTGGAGCAAAGGGAGAATGCTGGCATACAGTAGCACAGTGTTGTCCAAACTTGGCCACTTTAAGATGAGTGGACTTCAACTCCTAGAATTCCCCAGCCAGCATGGCTGG